CGAACAATACTGGGGAAGGGGCAGTGTTACGACAGCGGAAATCACGTGACGCTGGTGGCGTGTGCGAGGAGTTTCTCGAATGATCGTGAATTTCCTAGTTTGTTCGTAACGCCCTCTTTTTTAGTATATAAGCCAGCGATAGATAGATTGAAGATAGAGATAATTGAGTCAAGCGAACAGTAGGCACCGTAAGTAAAGTGTGTGTGAACCACTGTGATTTATGGCGTGTGTTATAAAGGTTGTTAAGTTTAAAGTGACGGTGTAAATTCTGTGTATTAAAAAGTTGTATCAAGAAAGAATAAACTAGATTAATTAGGAAAGATCTTGTATCGCTGAAGTTCATCGGAAATAATTTATACCGGAAATTACCAAACGAGCAGATACGTAACAATTCCAATGGACCTTTAATACCAACCACGCCTCGATCTACTTCTAGTGACACTCTGTGAGATAGGAAATTCTATTTTTTTTATTATTATAGTTGTGTTTATCGTTCATTTATTATTTCCTTCTATCGTTTAATTTATCTATGAATTTTTAGTTGCATTAAAATACTAACTCATCTTCTAGCTAACTATTTGTATCTTGAGTAAATGTGTGTGTATGATAAAACTGACACCACTTCCCTAGCGGTACAGGTATTATTATGCAGCAGAAGAGTATGTAAATATATGATCACATGAGGTTATACTCTCGTGACCTATTCTCTGAATAAATACCCTGCCAGAAGCTTCTCTAAGAGAGAGAGAGACACGAGGCAGTTAGTGAATTATTATTGTTTATCACTCGATATTGTTATTGAAAGTTATTTTTGGAATATTGTATTCGTTGTATTTTATTATTTTTCTTTTGGAATTAAGTTTTTTCTTTCTGATATATTGTCTATTAGTATTGATGTGGAGTCCTGGCTAGGCACTTGTTTATTAACTTGTGTTTTGGAAAGTGTTAAATATATTTTAAAGTGTTTTTATTATTAAATAAATTGTTTTATGTTGTTGAACCCTGATTGAAGCAGCGTGTTCATTTTATACCATTTCAGTACATATCACACCTATGACAACAATACCCATTAAATCTTACCCTTTCAAGTGCTTTGAAGTTTGGAACCCAAATTGGTCACCAGAAGGATAACTTCCGATTCTTGACACTTTCATCAATCATTGCTGTGCTGAAATCAACACTATTAACTTCAGGAATACCTGTATAAGATCCAAACTATCCAAAGATAAGACTATTGCTCTATCTACCTTGAAAAATCTCAATGAAACTGTGCTGTTGTTGTTTGGTGTAAAGATATGTTCATTCAAGAGACTAATATACAACTAAATGGCTCAACCTTCTACAAACCTCTCTCTGACAATTCCCTTCCACATTTTCAGTAACTTATCAAGGACATTAAAAAAAGAACTAATGAAATATAATTACCACTGCCAGAAATCTTATACTTCAACATCCCAAAATTGCTCTCTTCTACATGCTACCCAAAATTCAGGACGTCCCATAGTCTCTGCTTGTAATTATTTGACTGAGCTGAGCTCCACTTACCTCTAGAGTATTTATCAATCTCTGGTAGATATCCTCCCTATATGTGTTAAAGATAGCATCCACGTTCTTGATCTTTTTAAAAAAGTTCGATTCTGCAACCTCCATTAACATATTGACTATGGACATCCACTGTTATACCACACAATGACGGATTGACCACACTTAAACATTTTCTCGACAAAAAAAAAAAAAGAAACCTTTACTCCTCAACAGAACCATACATCAGCTAACCGACGTAGTACTCGCTCTGAATGCTTTTGACTTTTATAAACAAACATATCAACAGTTACAAAAAAGTTGACACAGGAACCAAAATAATTCTGTTTGTTTGTTTTTTAATTTTGCCCAAAGCTACACGAGGGCTATCTGCGCTAGCCATCCCTAATTTAGCAGTGTAAGACTAGAGGGAAGGCAGCTAGTCATCACCATCCACCACCAACTCTTGGGATACTCTTTTATCAAACAATAGTGGGATTGACCGTCACATTATAACGCCCCCACGGTTGAAAGGGCGAGCATGTCTGGTGTGACGGAGATTCGCGACCCGCAGATTGCGAGTCGAGCGCCCTAACCACCCGGCCATGCAGGGCCCAAAATA